CGGGATCGCGGGGGATCCCGGGATTGCGGGTCCCACGGGAGAGCCGGGATCCCGATGGATCCCGGGGGCGCGGGGCCCACGGGAGGGCCGGGATCCCGGGGACTACCGGGCCCACAGGAGGTCCGCGACCCCCGGCAACCGTTCCGGCGGAGCGGGTCCCCGCCGGGGCAGTGGTGAAGAGCCAGGAGCGGCAGGGGGTCCCCGGGGCCACCCCAGCACCGTGACACCCTGCCACCGGATCCCGTCGCTCGCCAGATCCCGGCTGCCGTCACAGACCTGCCAAGAGGGCGGACGGCGCGAGTGGGCTGGGGCACCCCGATCCCAGGGCGGGGAGGAGGGATCAGCCAGGCACCGAGCTCTCCACTGGGGTGGGATCTGGTGGGATCCCTCGCGGGAATCCTCTTCTCCTTGGCCCTTCCGCAGGCTCAACATCGATGGCCTCCTGGTCTACTTCCCCTACGACTACATCTACCCTGAGCAGTTCTCCTACATGCTGGAGCTCAAGAGGACTTTGGACGCCAAGGTACAGCAGGATCTGGTGGTCCCGGGTGGGCTGGGATCCACCCACCCCTGGGGACGTCCCTGCCGGGGGTGACGCCACTGCTCTCGGCAGGGCCACGGTGTGCTGGAGATGCCCTCTGGGACCGGGAAGACAGTGTCGCTGCTGTCGCTCATCGTTGCCTATCAGCGAGTGAGTGCTGGTGCCTGATCCCAGTGGATCCGAGTCCTGCAGACCCTAGTGTCACATCTCTCCCCAGGCCCGGCCACTGGACGTCACCAAACTCATCTACTGCTCCCGCACGGTGCCAGAGATCGAGAAGGTGGGGTGACGAGCTGGGGGAGAGACAAGGGAAGCAAATCTGAGAGGGGATCCCGAGGGATCCATCTGAGCATTGCCACCACAGGTGATCGAGGAGCTGCGGAAGCTGATGGATTTCTATGAAAAGGAGCTGGGGGAGAAGGTGCCGTTCCTGGGGCTGGCGCTGAGCTCCAGGAAGAACCTCTGCATCCACCCCGAGGTGGGCATGGGGCTGGGTGAGATCCACTGGGGGTGTGTGTGGGGGGGTTGATCCCAGGGGGACACAGTGACAACAGGGTGACCATGGGGGTGCAGGTGTCCTCGCTGCGCTTTGGGAAGGAGGTGGACAGCCGGTGCCTGAGCCTTACGGCTTCCTACGTGCGGGCGCAGCATCAGCGTGACGGATCCCTGCCTGCCTGCCGCTTCTTTGAGGTGAGGGATTCCCCTGATGAGCACTCGGGGATCCCCCTGACCCTGATGGACACCCAAGGGTGTCCCACCTGCCCCTGCTTGGGGGCCCCAAAGGCACCTGGGGACCCCTGGGTGCCCCCCAGTCTCCTGCCAGCTCCTGGGTGCCCTGTGGTGTCCCCGACAACTCCCAGCACCCTGGGGTG